AAAACCTAGCAGAGTGTAGTCACACATGCCTTTAACCTCAGCACTTGAGAGACAGAGGCAGGTAGATCTCTGTGAGTTCTAAGCCAGTCTGGTGTACATAGTTAGTTTCAAGCTAGACAGAGCTACATAATTGATAAGTATTATTGGATCTCCAGTTATTGTGTATCCTCTACTGATACAATAAGCCCAATCAGACTGAATTAATGACCAGACTTAATAAACAGAGAAAGCAAAGCAGAGCCCTCCAGGTGACTGTACGGAAGGCAGGAGAGAGAGAGCACAGGGCAGATCTATGGACCAGGTCTTAAATACCCTGTAGGCACCGTCTTGATCAGCTCCAGGGGAGAAGCTGACTCTTGGTGGGCTTTCTGAGGGGCAGGTCTGGAATGGAAGGAGTGAAACTGAGCAGAGAATCCCAGCAATAATGAAACCTTGTCTCAAAAACAAAAAACAAACAAAATAAAACAAAACCAAACCCCCTAACACTACATAGCTAGAAAAATACAATAATGATCTAATTTTTTTGGCTAGGTCTCACCTATCAAACTTTCCAGAGCCTCCCAAAGTATCCCCCAGCAACTAAGGACAAAGCCTGTGTCCTTTCAGTATAGACAACATTGTTTTCTGAGCTTTTTTTTTTTTAATGTGAGGTTGGTTGACCACAGATATTAAACCCACAGATTTTTTTGAGTATTGTCTGCTGTGAACTTTCCTCTAGAGAATTTTATAAAAAGTTTTTTGAATGTATTCCTACACTTGCTTTTCTTTCTTTACACTGTCACTACAAATTCAATACTTTAATTAGTTTTTCTAACTCTTTTTGTTATAGTAAAAAAATTACTGGGCTAGAGGAAGACTAAGCAGGTCAAGTAGTCACTGCTCTTGCTTTGGACTCTGGTTCAAATTCAACACCAACATGGTGGTTCATAATGATCCCAGCTCTAGTTCCACAAGCTCCAAAGCCTGCTTCTGACCTCTGCAGTCCCCATGCACACATGTGGCACATATACATACATTTGGGAGAACATCAAACATATAAAATAAAGTAAATACATCTTTTAAAAGTTATTGATTATTACATATCTTTTTGTTAGTCATCCATCGTCCCTAATACTGTTTTTTTAAAAAAAAATTGTAATCTTTCTTTTTCGTTTTCTTTAAGTTTGGAGAACTCTCCTTGCCCTTTTATCTGCTTTGCTATCTTTCCTAATTGTGTGCGGGGGCGGGGGGGGGTGAGATTTAGATGAGGAGAGAGCACACCAAGCAAATAAAGAATGGAAAGGCAGTGTGATAGATAAATGTGATAGATAAGAGTGATAGATAAGTGTGATAGATAAGTGTGATAGACAAGCTTGCCACATTGGTAGTATTTAGAGTTACCTAGGCAACAAAGGACTGAGTGTCTCTGACATTGTTTCCAAATGTAGGCAGTATCTTCCAGGCTTGGGTCCTGGAGTAAATGAAGCAGGGGAAGTAAGTGTGACCTCAACATTCATCTCCCCCTCTTTCCTGACCTTGCGCAAGGTCGGCTTCCTCGCTCCAGTCATCACATCTTCCCAGCCACAATGGACTATTCTCTCAAGCAGCAGTCCAGAATAAGCCCTGCCCTTCCTCAAATGGTTTTTGTTTTGTTACAGCAATGAGGTGGAAAAGTCGCTAATGAAGAAAATTGGGACAGTAGCTGTATAAGCACGGCGTGTAGTTCGGGGGTTTTGGAACCGGGCCTGTGGGGGGAATATGGAGAATTCTGGGACTGTAGGGTAGAGGTGCCCTAGACCGCTGCAGTCAGAGGTTAGTGGACTACGTTGATGGGGTCAGAAGACCAGAAGGGTGAAAGAAATGAGGGAGATGGCGGTCCAGCTCATGAGGTCTCAGCGGGGATCGAGGACTCTTCTGGGAAAAGGACCAGAGCTATTTGTGCTACATTGTCACAACAAAAACAACAAAACAAAACAAATGCTACATTCAGCTTGTGCCCTGGTTGATAATTTGAGTGAGGCTGAATTCCGAAATATTGGGTGAATTCCCTTGTTGGAGGAAACTTTGTGACAACACAGCTTTCAGACTGTGTCCTGGCTGCTGCTCGCCTCTCTCACCCAACTTCCAATGGGAAAAGACAGCAAGTCAAGTAGAATGATGTGGAAAGTATCAGGAATGATGAGCAAAGGAGCCTGAGTGCATTTAAAATAGCAGACAAGAAAGATTTAGAAAAGACACCTACAATTGTTAAAGGGTTGAGTGTAATAGTGTTTTATTTGCATTTTAATAAATAAAACTTCCTGAAGATTAGGAAAGTAAAACAGCCACACTGGCCAGCCTTACAGACCAGGCAGCAATGACACACATCTTTAATCCCAGTAACCTGATAAGGGATTTCCCTCTGTATGTTTGAATATCATTAATGAATAAAGACACTGCCTTTGTCTGTTGATAGGGAAGAACTTAAGTAGGCGGGGAAAGCTGGACTGGATGCTGGGAGAGAGAAGGTCGAGTAGGGAGATGCAATGGAGCCACTGCCAGAGTCAGGCATGCTGAAACTTTGTAGGTAAGCCACGTGGCAATGCACAGATTAATGGAGGTATGTTAAATTAAGATGTGAGAGTTAGCCAATAGGAAACTAGAGCTAATGGGCCAAGCAGTGATTTAATTAATACAGTTTCTGTGTGATCATTTCAGTTCTGGGCAGCTGGGACGAACAAGCAGTTCCTTACTACAGTAGCCATACTAGCTTGCCATAGAAACCAGGCAGTAATGATGCATGGCTTTAATCCTAGAACTAGAGAGGAATATAAAACAGGAGAACACAGCTCTCAGTCTCAGTGCCATTCTGAGATTCCTAGAGGCAGGATCGTCATTTCAGACTGAGGTCGAGGTAAGAGCCAGTGGCTGGCTGCTTTGCTTTTCAGATCTTCAGACTGAAGTCCAATTTTTCTCTCTGAGTTTTTACTAATCGTGGTTCAGCTGAGCACAGTTAAGGAAAACTGTTTTGTTTTACACAGGAACAAAGATGCCATAGAGGCACGCGCTCCTATCAAAGGCTTCTGCCTGCAAAGATGCAGACTCATTGGGAAGGAGAAAGACTGAGCTGGGAATGGTGCTGAAGAGATTCTCTGCTGGAAAATAGCCACCTGTTCCCCTGGTTCAGCTACCAAGGCTGAAGCAGTAGCAGAAGGGAGCTGGGCTACATCTCAGACCAGCAACAAAACCTAGCAACTTTGTCCACATGGTGCTCAATGGGCAGGCACGCAAAATGCAGGGCAGAGGCTTCCACCAAGGTTTCAGAAAAGTCGGCTCAGCCCAGGCAATGGATGACTGAAAGGAGGAATGAACAGCCATTACACGCAGCGTGGGAAGTGAAGCCCAAGATGCACTGGAGAACCAAAGAGGTTGAATGCCAGGGCCGGGAGACACCTACTAAGAGCTAGCGTAACAGGCTGTACGCCTACGGGTGACGGAACTGGGGCGGGGTTACTCGAGGCCGTCGGAAGTCAGGTAAGTCCCATATGTGCAACACTGAACTTCAAGAATTGTGTGCCCCGCTAGGTTCTGATTTTGCTTTGATCCAATCTTATCTTGTCACACCGCTATTTCTATTTCTCCCTTTTGGAACAGGGGTGTTTGCTGTGCACCATTGTATATTTTCTTTTATAGCGGCCCACAGTTAGGGGATTTCCTGAGGCTTAGGAAAGACTGCATGGACAGTTTTAAACAATTTCGGAAGTGGTAAGACTTCATTGATTCTCAAACATGTACGAAATGTATTCCCATAGGAGACTTTAGGGAGCAGGGATTGAACTGTAAAATTTAATGATATGTGTGTATAAAGTTGATAGTAAGTGAACTTGTAATGGTTAATCCTGACCATCAGGTTGACGGGATTTAGAGTCAACTAAGAGACAGAGGCTTCCCTGTGGTTGAAAACATACCCTGAATGAGGTTCGGCAGCATCCAGAGGTGGAGATCCCCTAATAGTAAAGAGAGAATTGTCTAATTGCTAGCATTCATGTATCTCCACTTCCTGGTACTGCATGAATAAGATCAGCCACTTTGAGCTCCTACAATATGCCCTCCCCACTATAGAGATACTTTGTTTATGTTTTAGCAAATAAAGTTTGCCTGACAATCAGAGTGCAGAGCTAAGCCACTAGAGACCAGGCAGCTGCGGCACACTCATTTAATCCTAGGACTCCGGAGACAGAGGCTACAGATCTCCATGAGTTCAAAGACGCCCTGGGCTACACAAGATTGAATCTGTGTAAAAGAAAAACAGAGCTTATACAAGGGTGATCCCAGCACTTGAGACCACATGCCTTTAATCCCAGCACTAGGGAAGTGGAGACAGGAGTGAAATGGTGGGAGGAGAAAAGAGCTCAGTACAGTCTGAGGAAAGGATCGCCCCATTGGTCAGAGCGTGAAAGGTCTCCCTAGTGACTGGCCGCACTGCTTCTCTGGTCCTTCAGCTTTCACCCTCCTAATATCTGACTTAGGGCTTCAGTTATGAAGACCAATTAGAATTTAAGCTACACCCCACTATGATGGACCGTGCTCTCAAATCCTAAGCTCAAAGAAGAACTTCCACCCTTGAGCTGCTTCTGTTGGGTGTTCCATCCATCAATAGGAAAGTGATGTGTCGAGGATGGAGAAAGGCTCTCGGGAAGGAGCGATGTGTAGACAGAGTCTGCTGGTTCGTTTCTGGCTGCCCAGACCAAATAATCACACAGAAACTGTATTAATTACAACACTGCCTGGCCTATTAGCTCAGGCTTCTTATTGGCTAGCTCTTATATTTTAAATCAACCCATTTCTATTTATCTATATATCGGCAGGAGCCTGTGGCTTACTGGTAAGGGCCAGCGTCTGTCTCCTTCAGCAGCTAAGTGACCTCTCCCTGACTCTGCCTCTCTCTATAAATATCCTTCCAGCCTGGCTATATTCTGCCCTGCCATAGGCCAAATCAGCTTTATTCATTAACCAATAAACACAACATATATGCAGAAGAACATCCCACATCAACAATGCATCAGTAGACTTGACTGTGGTTATACACTAGAATTGTTGGGTTGATTAATAGACCTATTAAAACCATTGAGTACAACTTCACACGAGTCAAGATGACTATTGTTTAAAAACATAAAAATTTTAAAAATGGAAAATGAGAATTGACAGGGAACATAAAACAGTGTGGTTGCCATGGAAAACAGTAAGTGCTCTACAGATTTAGGGAACAGTTATAACTGTTCACAGATTCCATACCCAGGTATGCATTCAAAGGGATAAAAGCAGAACTCAAATAAATACGTCAATACATTGTTTGTGGCATTGTATTTATAATAGTGCAAAGTGGAGACAACCCAAATTGGTATTGTCAGGTGAGTATAGGAATAAGATATGGTAGCCACACTGTTTGGTCTTAAAAAGGAACAAATTCAGACATGTTACAAGCAACCTGAAACCTCAGCTAAGTGAAATGGAGCAAACACAAAGGGTAAACCTGATGTGATTCTTCTCCCATCAGAAGCTGAGGGTGGGCAAACTCGCAGGCCAGAAAGGAGAGCAGCAGTTACGGCATGATAGGCAGAGGATTTGATCGCCATAAGGAAAATCTGCAAACAGAAGGGACGAGTACACAGTACAGTTGCTGGCTTACTGCTCACGAACCGCGCGCTTTAAGACGGTTACACGGTAAATTATAACCTTTTCCAGAAGAAAAGAAAAAAATATGGGAGGGAGTAAAGTCTATTTTGGAGGTGTGAAAAAAGAAAAAAACAAAAACCTTTGGAGAGAGGGGGAGAGTGATTCAAACACAACAGCAGCCACTCTCCCTTGGTGCAAGATTGAGCAGAGTGTGGGTTACTGGGCACAACTCTTTCCCATGCACTGGTATATTGAGTCATCTCCTCCACTCTGTGGGACCTCCAGTGAGAAATTTAGACACACGGTCAATAACCCTGTTTCCCACAGTCTGATCTCCGTTTTGTTCCATGAGACACATTAGAAGCCATCTCCCTTACCTTTGGCAGGACATGCAGTCAGGAAAGTAGTATTTCATATAGATCACCTTTGGGACCTTCAAAGATAAGGGACGTCCAAGCTCAGAGACTGTCTTTGTTTGTGTGTGTGTATATAAACTGGGAACTTTACAGAACAGAAGGAGAATAGCAGGAGAAGAATAAAGAAACTGATGCAGAAAAGTACGTAGTGGAGAGATCATTTCACCCTCAGATCGAAGTTCCACGCTTGCTGTGACTATTCTTGAAGGGGACACTGAGGCTGGCATTCAGAGGTCCCCGATAACTATGTGATTTTATTTTATTTTATTTTACAGAAGAGTCAAATGTTGGTTATATTTCCTTATTATATCAATTTTGTTCAGTTTTGGAATTGCCAAATCTTTCCCTCCTCTTGCCTTGTCTGCTTTTACCATGTGGAATGCTAACAAAGAGTCAAAAACAATAAAGTGTAGAGTCTGGCCTCTCTTCCTGGATCCCATGTTAAAGTGTCCTGTAGAATCTGGACTCTTGCCTTGACCAAAGCTGTCTGTGTCACCCTGTCACACAGCCCCCACTCCTGTCACACAGCCCCCACCCCTGTCACACAGCCCCCACTCCTGTCACCCAGCTCCCATTATTTTCTTTTCTAAAGTTGTATTGGGTGTTACTGAGATCAGGTATCTCCTTACTTGCTTGACCTGGGGAGAAAACTATAGTGTTTAAGCATTTTTCTGTCACAGCCCTCAAATTTAACCAAGGAAGAGAGTTGCTATATGGGAAATACCTTTTTTCTTATCTCTGACAAGTTAAATGGTTATTTAGATTGTCATGAAAGTGTAGATTGAAACCTACTCACCTTTAGAAATTTGATGACAGTTGTCCCTTCTAAGTTGATGAGATGTCATTTGATGTTTATTTAGAACAGTACCTCTTGGGTTACCTCCTCCTTAGAAATTAATCAATGTAATCCACCATATAAACAAGCTGAAAAATAAAAAACACATGATCATTTCATTAGATGCTGAAAAAGCTTTTGAAAAAATACAACATCCCTTTATGATAAAGGTCTTGGAGAGAGCAAGGACACAAGGAACATACCTAAGCATAATAAAGGCAATATACAGCAAGCCAACAGCCAGCATCAAACTAAATGGAGAGAAACTCCCAGTGATTCCACTGAAATCAGGAACAAGACAAGGTTGTTCACTCTCCATATCCATTCAATATAGTTCTTGAAGTCCTAGCTAGAGCAATAAGACACAAAGGGGAGATCAAGGGGATACAAATTGGAAAAGAAGAAGTCAAACTCTCACTGTTTGCTGATGATATGATAGTTTACATAAGTGATCGCAAAAATTCTACCAAGGAACTTCTACAACTCATAAACACTTTCAGTAATGTAACAGGATACAAGGTTAACTCAAAAAAATTAGTAGCCCTCCTGTACACAGATGATAAAAGGGCTGGGGAAGATATCAGAGAATCAACACCCTTCACAATAGCCACAAATAGCATAAAATATCTTGGAATAAATCTAACCAAACAAGTGGAAGACTTGTATGACAAGAACTTTAAATCTTTGAAGAAAGAAATTGAAGAAGACACCAGAAAGTGGAAAGATCTCCCATGCTCTTGGGTAGGCAGAGTTAACATAGTAAAAATGGCAGTCTTACCAAAAGCAATCTACAGATTCAGTGCAATACCCAGCAAAATTCTTCAAAGACCTTGAAAGAATGGTACTCAACTTCATATGAAAAAGCAAAAAACCCAGGATAGCCAAAACAATTCTGTACAATAAAAGAACTTCTGAAGGTATCACAATCCCTGACTTCAAACTCTACTACAGAGCTACAGTACTGAAAACAGCCTGGTATTGGCATAAGAACAGACAGGAGGACCAATGGAACAGAATAGAAGACCCAGATATCAATCCACACATCTTCAAACACCTGATTTTTAACAAAGAAACAAAAATATCAAATGGGAAAAAGCATATTTAATAAGTGGTGCTGACATGACAGGGTATCAATATGTAGAAGAATGAAAATAGACCCATATCTATCACCATGCACAAAACTCAAGTCCAAATGGATCAAAGATCTCAACATAAAGCCACCCACACTGAACCTTATAGAAGAGAAAGTAGAATGTACACTTGAATGCATTGGCACAGGAGACCACTTCCTAAATATAACCCAGTAGCACAGACACTGAAAGCAACAGTTAATAAATGGGAGCTCCTGAAACTGAAAAGCTTCTGTAAAGCAAAGGACACGGTCAACAAGACAAAACGACAGCCCACAGAATGGGAAAAGATCTTCACCCAACATCAAACAGAGGTCTGATCTCCAAAATATACAAAGAACTCAAGAAATTGCTCATCAAAAGAACAAAGAATCCAATTAAAAAAAAATGGAGTACAGACCTAAACAGAGAACTTTCAACAGAGGAATCTAAAATGGTTGAAAGACACTTAAGGAAATGTTCAACATCCTTAGGCACCAGAGATATGCAAATCAAAACAACTCTGAGATTCCATCTTACACCTGTAAGAATGGCCAAGATCAAAAACATCGATGAGATGACAACTTATGCTGGAGAGGTTGTGGGGTAAAGGGAACACTTCTGCATTACTGGTGGGAATGCAAGCTGGTACAACCCCTTTGGATGTCAATGTGGCAATTTCTCAGAAAATTAGGAAACAACGTTCCTCAAGACCCAGTAATACCACTTTTGGTATTACTCCAAAGTAATATATATCCAAAGGATGTTGAACTGTGTCACAAGGACATGTGCTCAACTATGCTCATAGCAGCTTTGTTTGTCATAGCCAGAACCTGGAAACAACCTAAATGCCCCCCGACCGAAGAATGGATAATAAAAATCTGGTACATTTGCACAATAGTACTACACAGCAGAAAAAAATAATGACATCTTTATGAATTTTGCAGGAAAATGAGTGGACCTAGAAAACATTATTTTGAGTGAGATAACCCAGACACAGAAAGACAAGTATCACATGTACTCACTCATAGGTGGTTTTTAAACAGAAAGCAAAGAAAGCTAGCTATAAACCACAATCTCAGAGAATTTAGACAACAATGAGGACACTAAGAGTGACTTACATAGATCTCATCTACAAGGGAAGTAGAAAGTAGAAAAAGACAAGATCTCCTGAATAAATTGGGAGCATTGGGACCTTGGGGGTGAGTTAAAGGGGGGAGGCAGGGAGGGGACCAGAGAAAAATGTAGAGCTCAATAAAAATCAATAAACAAAAAAGAAGAAGAAAGTAATGAGGTTAAGAGCACTGGCTGCTCTTCAAAAGGACCCAGGTTCAATTCTCAGCACCACATGGCAACTAGCAACTGTTTGTAACTCCAGTCCCAGGACACCTGACACCTTCACACCAATGCACATAAAATGAATTTAAATAAAACTATTTTTGTAAAAAAAGAAAGTAATGCCTTCATCCTTCACCTCAAAGGGTAGGAGCTCAAAGCTTTGCAGCAACTCTGTCCCAAAAAGTATCTTCACTAATCTTTTCACAACGCCCCTCTTCCTCCCTGTCCCACCATACCTTAAGACCGTTTGTTAACCATGTTAGCGAGGCAGTTAAGACCCCCTGAATTCTACACGTGATGGGGGGAGAAGTTGCCCCTCACAGAGGTTCTGGTTTCTATAGTTAGTTCTTTCCTTGGTTGACAATGAGGCCATCATCATCATGCTTAATCCAATACTAGTAAGGAAACAGGTGCCTCCAAGGTCTTGAAGTCTAAAGACATTACACTGGCTAAAAGGCTAGATGTTAGATTTTTGCTTCTCTAACTCTATTCCATGTTCTATGTTAGGACAAGTTCAGAGCAAGTGCAAAATTATCTACAACCAAATTACTAACATAGGTAAGAGAATTTGGTAACATTGAAAGTACAGTGAAGCAAGAACCCACAAACGTCTAACCAACTTATTGAGGGGCACAATGAAAAGGCAAATACAGAACAAATCAAACACCGCCGCTAATCCAGCTGTCTTCGTCCAGCTGTTCTGCCCAGGGGTGAACAGCATCAATTGCAAGCAATCTCTCTGCTGCCTGCTCTGCTGGGCCCACCCAAGAGAGCGTGAGAGCAAGAGATCAAGAGAGAGCCCTCCTCTCAGCTTTAAGCCATCAAATAAGCAGAAAAAAATGCCTTAGGACTGGTAACCCCCAAAAGTCATAGGCTAAAGAGATTGAAATCCCACAACAGTATGGCTTTAATATACAAAAGAAAAAACAAAACTCTACAAGAACAAAGAGAAAATAAAGATTTCAAAAACATCATATAAAATAACACAAAATTAGATCAATAGAATACATATAATGTAAGAATTGCAAGGCATTTACACAGGAATTTCAGAAGTGATTAAGTGGAAATTATATTATAGGTGATATTATGTATAAAAAGAGGTTTCTATCATATTAAGATGTAAATTCTGCTCAACCTCGACTCTAAATTCAGCTCACTCCCCAGATACAGTTCTGGCAGCTACTTATCAAAATGAACAAGGTGATTCTAAAATTTATGTAGATGGGCTGGGGGTATGGTTCAATGGTATATGTTGGACCCTGGTCTCCATTACTGCCATTATACAAATCAAATTCAAGTAAGAAAGAAATGCAGAAGAACCCAAATGACCAAGGCAATCTTCAAGAATTAAACTGGAAGATTTCTGACTCCCAGATGTCAATAGTTACAAATTTAGATTACACAAGTGTAGTGATTATTTACAAATGGTTGGCTGTATGAAATGCAAAGATCCCAGGAAAAGAAGGTGTTACTATGATTACCCCATCTATGGCAGGTGATGCTACAACTCAGCAAGGGAAAGAGTGGGTTTTTTCAATAAATACTGCTTGATCAAGCAGACATACACTTGGGAAAAGGAGAAGTCTGACCTGCATGTCCAATGTTACTTGTATTCAGCATTTCACAGGAGTACTGCATTGAAAAAACTGTGCACCTACCTGCAGCCCCTGTTCTGCGGTCACTGTGGGGCTGCCAGCATCTAGCTGCGGTGGTGCATCCATTTTTCACTTTTGATTTTTGGTTGTTTAAGTGCTTCAAGTACGACTGTAGCAGATGGTTTCGCCTATTCACAGATTTGCCACTAACCCATACAAAGAAAATAAAAACCTTTACAAATACAATGAAAGACCAAAATGTAGAATGGGAAAAATAACACAAAAGAGGTGAGATCATGCAAATGCAAGATTGTAAAGGACAACAGTCATCTACCTGTCTGTCTGTCTATCTATCTATCTATCTATCTATCTTCTATCTATCTATCTATCTATCTATCTATCTATCTATCTATTCATTTATTTTAAAGAAAGCATCATTGCTAATCAAAACCACACTAGAGTAGCAACCTGAGAAGCATGCAGTGTATTTTGTTTTTTATAAAGACATCCAGAGAATACTGTTCTAAAAACTGGAAATAGCAGGCGGCTTGAAGGGCCCAGGTGTTTGTTTAGGCTTCTCTGGTCTCCAGGAGCCAGCTCAGATTTCAGCTGGAGAGCTTGCAGTGTCCTTGGCCAGTGGCCACTATTTGCCTCACATGGAGACAAGCCTGGATCAAGGTTTGCCCTGACAAACATTTTGTTAACGTATAATTTATTTAGAGACATTAACTGAATTAGAATGATTAAACCTTTTACAGTTAACAGAGTTTAGGATGGGTAACTCAACATCTCTGCAACTTCCCTCATGTCCTTGTGTTAGAGTTTGTGACTCTGTTAAATTTCTACTTTCTACATAAGCCTGTTGATGAACTTTGATAAATTTAGATAAAAATTATTGAGAAACCAATATAGATGGGCTTTCATGTGGTAAAACTACAACCCTGCCCTGGGTTATAAATAGGCTTTAATTTCTAACAGAGTACTAAAAATATATGTGGTATTTGGTGGTACAGGTCTTATATAAATGTTTTTATTTTCTGAT